CGTTTCGCTTCTCATTCAGGAAGCTTATTCCATACCTTCCCGCTATCAACCCCAACCACTTTACAAGGGACTAGAAGACCTAACCTTTAACGACCCCCCTTTCAGAGACAGACAGGTATTGGGCATTGCAGGCTAACAAAAGAAGCCAAACGACCCCCCGTTCCAAAGGGGTGGACCGTTCATCTGTTTCAAATTGCATGTTTTCTAAATCCTTTGTTGAGCTACTGTATGAGAGCATCAAGCATCAAACTCAACCCTATTTCTGACATTTTAAATTAAAAAAGCTTCCTGGATGGGAAGTGAAACGTCTTTGAACTTGGAAAAAATTATCTGGTGAACTGTCAGCTCAAGTGTCTTGAGATGATATATGTTGTGAATTGGCGCTATAGTAATAAATTGAATTGAATGTAATTTTTGAAAAAAACTTCATGAAGAAGGCGTGTCCAGAGGACTGAGAACGTGTGGGGGGTCGAGGGCTGGGCACGGTCTTCCAGCAATATAAACATGGTGAGCAGAGCAGTCCCACTGATTATTGTTTTTAAACAGAGTGGTAGGATCTTCACCAAATGGGGGAAGAGAGGAAGGTTCTGTGGAGCAGGCAGGTTTTAGCTGCTGGCTCAGTAATAATGGGTGGCTTCCCCCTCCTCCCACATAGGATGGTTCTTATAGGGGACATCAATAAATATCCTAACCAAAAACTTTTGACAAACAGAATTAATCACAAAATTATCACCATTGATACAAAATGAACACCAGATCTCTGTTTTTGATACATTTTGTATTTGTTAAAATAGTTTATCCTATGGGGTTAATGTTTGTTTTTTTTTTATCCATAGCTTTTAAGTTTTGTGACTGTTACAAAATAATGTGAATTTATTATACGAGACTTTTTAAAAACATTTTAAAATGTGTTTTTGTTTGAAAATTTCATTGCAGCTGACAGATTTAATGTTTTAGTCCCTAAGAGAATCGGCTCTCTCCTGGTAGAGGTGCTGACGTCAGTTCTCTGGATGAGGTCACATCCCAGTAGGTGGCCAAAATCAGAAACAGTTTCCCATTTTAACCTGCAGAGGGCAACAAAAATAAAATCAGGATTAGGACAGATGTACAGTAAATTGTGAAAACAGTGCCCAGGGAATGTAGGCAGTTCTTTGCGAAGGCTATTTATACAGTTTATTGGCGAAAACTGTTTATTTAAAGATTGTCCTTCAAAAGCATACAAATGCCATTACCTGCTAATTACATTGTTGATGCATTGAATTGAATCAGATCAGTCTTTTGGATTCTGGCAGCTGTGACAGAAAAATATGTTTCTTCATTACTTTTAAAATTTTGCATGGAGTAGCTGACCTGCTTAGCCCCATTAGGGCCCTGTCACACCTTGCTGATTTAGCCTGCGTAATCCTGACGACCCAGAATCTCCTAAAACGTTGGCATACGCTGAACTTTCTATGTATTTTTTCAATTAGAGTATTCATAACGAGTCCAGAACTTATGTCCAAGAACAAAAAGTAATACACGGGTAGGACGTGGTAGGAGTATGCAACCAGAGTAAGCGACTCTCTGATGAATTTGAAAAACCATATGAGACTATCCCCCTATTAAAATAAATTAATAAAGTACAGCCTAACATTAGATCCAATAAACAATTTTTTAGATGCTAGAACAATGTGAAAGAGCTGCTATTTAGCTTCAAACAAAACAACCAACAGGTAAAATATGGTTTTATTCCTTCATATTGTGAATAGAAACAAAAAAACAGATGGCTCTGCTAGATATAAATCAGCCTCGTAGAAAACAGTTTTTATTCCCTCATCTGTGAACTATAGAAATAATAGTATTTAGGGTGCTTTATTGCTCCAAACTTGTTTATTTGTACAAATCTTTGTGCTCCTCTGTAAGCCTCGGTCTCACTGAGCTCCAAATGAGCCCAGATGTCCTTCAAACACCGTGGAGCACAACCTGAAGCCGCTACATACCCATGTTGCTCCTGAAGCAGGGGTCTGGAAGGGTGACTGTGTTGAGTGTAAGCAGAGGGTGTTTATCTCCCTCTGTCCTTAAGATCTTGTCTGATTTAGTTTTTCAGCTGTTTCCTCCGTCCATCAATGTCCTCAGCCGTTAAAGTCAGGGAAAGCTTCTAAATTGATTTATCATCTGCTAAAATATCAAAGGCGTCTTGCTAAATATCTCCAGCATTTCATGAGATGAGTCTCAGCATGATGGCTCTTCATTGATGAGTTTGTCTTCTGCCCATTTGTGACCTGCTGAAAGCTACAGCTGTTTTCCTCTGTCTAGATGATGTTGCAGCGATGCGCTCTATCAACATGAAGACTAATACCGAGATCCCTCTGAATCCCTCGATGACTGTTTCTTTATTTGAAGCGTTATCTATGGTGATGCAGGCCACTGAGAAATTGTCCAGGTTCCACGACCTCCAATACAGTTTCCTGTAGAGTGTCTCCCGTGTTCTCTGTCCTACCTGTCCAGAGGTCTGTGGTCTGTTTTAAATACTCCAGGAACATAAAATTCCTCCTTGAAGAACTTTCTTAGCTTGGATGTCCCTGTTGAAGAAGATGTTGGAAGTCTAGTTTCTAATTGTTTAAACAAGAATCTTTCTCTGCCAATATTTTCCATTACAATCCTGTTGATTCCTCTTTGCTTTGTGGTGTCTTTCTATCATATTTTATTTGGTGATCAAACAGAAGCACTTTCTGCATTCCGAAGAACAGGAATATGGACTCCTGTTCTCGGCAAGTACATTTTTGACAAGAACACAGGAGAACAGGAGCACCAGAATAATTATGGGTCAATTGGAACAGAAGTGTACTTGTGACGTCACCACATTCAAAGCTAGTCTGGATTTCAACTCCTGTTATATAATTAGTCTCTAGATAATAAATTATTAGGGCTGGGTATTTTGGCCAAAGTCCTGAATCGATTTGATTTTGATTCAATCTGTTTTTACAATAATAAAAGTGGTTCAACTGTGTTTCAAAATACTCATGTATTTTGTTTTTTCTTGTCACATTATACACAAAGTGCAAACTTGTAAATCAGACAGTTTAAACATGAGATGTGAACTAAATTGTCTCAAAAGTGCAAACTTGTTTGTGAAAAGTGAAAAAGTGAAGCCTCACTCGAGGAAGCAGACGTGACACAGCAGACACTAATGAGCTGCATTATCTTCGCTGCACAAACCATATTTGCAGCGTTGTCTGTAACAACTACAGGGTGTTTTCTGCTCAGCCCTCATTTGTTAATGTGTTCAGTCAACCTATTGGGTATATTTGCAGCTGTCTGGCTTGAAGTAATGTTGAGTGCATCTTTCCTGCTTATTTGAATGTGAACGTCACGCGGGTCATTCCCCAGACATCGATTTTGCAAAAATGTAAAGGAAGCAATTCAAAATCGATTCAATCGATTTTTTTTCCAGAGCCCTATAAATTATTACTTTTTTCATTAAGTGGGGATTGATAATTAACGCAGTCAGATAAACACAAATCAAATGAACGTTTGCCAAATAATTAAATAAAAAAAGGCATCAGAACCAGCAGTACTTCAGACATGGCTATGCCAAGAGGGAGCTGCTGAAGACGGGCTAACGTTGGCCCTGGCTGCTGCAGACGGGCTAACGTTGGCCCTGGCTGCTGCAGACGGGCTAACGTTGGCCCTGGCTGCTGCAGACGGGCTAACGTTGGCCCTGGCTGCTGCAGACGGGCTAACGTTGGCCCTGGCTGCTGCAGACGGGCTAACGTTGGCCCTGGCTGCTGCAGACGGGCTAACGTTGGCCCTGGCTGCTGCAGACGGGCTAACGTTGGCCCTGGCTGCTGCAGACGGGCTAACGTTGGCCCTAGCTAGCCTTTGCGGTCCGCTGGTTGCCGCGGTCCTCTCAACATCAGAACTTTTTTTAAATTGCGCACTAAATCAGTAAATGTGCCTTAGAGTAAAGCTCAAAAGCGTAAATTCTGGCCTGAAATTATCTCTGTGAGCTCTTAATGAACTTTATCACAATATGCTAATATTTTGAGAAGGACCTGTATACATTTTTTTATTTAGATTATGTCTCTCACAGTGGACTTATACGTATGATGACTATTTCAGACCCCTCCATGATTTCTAAGTTGTGAGAACTTTCAAAATAACATTTCCCTCACTGTAGTAATCGATTAATCGTTAACTGGAGTATAGAGACTGTAAAGATGTCTTTAGCTGACAGAGCAGTAGTTGCATTAAAATTGTATAAAAAAAAAAATTTTTTTTTTCATTTAAAATAAAAAAAAGTTTTAGTTTCACCTGGTTTAATTTTGTAAAAAAAAATCCTCTTGAAGGAACCTTTAGCTATCGGATCATTAATTGATTAGTCAAAAAATAATCGACAGATTAATTGATTTGCAAAATAAACTTTAGTTGCAGCCCTATTAAAAAAAAAACATCTGTCCCAGAAGATATGCTATTCATTACAGGATATATTTGTATTTGATGAAAACCAAGCAGCTTTGATGAATGTTTTGCATTACATGAGATCTAAGACTAGTGCTTAACAGAAGCAGTGCTGCGGGATCCTAGTCCACTACCATCTGCTTGATTTCACTGATCCGATTTAAAAAGGTTTACTCAAGGTTGCATTGGGAGAACCAAAGGGCTCCTGCTTATGCCTGCTTTGTTCTTCCCTGATCTCAGGATTCCTTAAACCCTCTGGCCGATCTGTGCTCAACGTACTGTAAAAACACATCTTCTAAGAACCTTCAAAACCTTTTATCAATGTATTTATGATGGCATTTGACTGTTTTTTTTTTTTTGTGTATTTTTACTGCCTGGCAAGAAAAGATTTGGGACTCATAGTGGATTTCATCAAGAAATTTAGGAAGTCAATTAATTCTTTCTGTAGATGGATCGAAAAATATTTTAACTGTTTTCTAAATGCGAGCATGTTTTTATTAATTTATTTCCTGGGTCCGCCTGGTAACAAATGCTTAATGGTGTTTTTCCTCTGCTTTAAGGTCAGTGACTGATCCCAGAGATGGAAAGCGGGTGGCCCTGAAAAAGATGCCTAATGTCTTCCAGAATCTTGTTTCTTGCAAGAGGGTTTTTCGGGAGCTGAAGATGTTGTGCTTCTTCAAGCATGAAAATGTAAGTGCAAACTTGTCTTGGATTTACGGTGTGACATTTTCAGATTCTTCCATACAACTTGGAGAATGATTATCCACAGGATGTAGACCACTGCATTACAAAACTCCCAACTGTTTCCTCAGGTACTCTCTGCTCTGGACATTCTACAGCCTCCACACATCGACTACTTTGAAGAAATGTATCCTTTGCCCTGTTGATTCACCTGAAAGATGAATTCACCTCAATACATTTCAGGGTCCATCGGTTCTTTTATGGTACCGACCGAAATGCTTCGGTTCTACCGAGTATCGAAACATGCCTCGTCTTTCGGTACCAAGTTTCGGTGATTGGCTGTAACACTTAACGTGATTGCGTCATCCAGGCAAAATACACAGGTGGTCACGCCTACAGCCAGGGTTCATGTGTATCTGTTGTGAACTGGTTGCGAGCGTCGTGGAACCCCTTTAAAATGCTGCCAAGGTCAAAAGTGCGGCTTCACTTTATTAAGACTGATGCCAATAGTGCGCAAAGCAATACATCGTGCACGGAAACAATTTAAGAGCAGAAAGTTGCTCTGTGTTTGACTGCAAGAAGAGAGGACCGCAGCCGGCGCGACCATCCTCCTCTCAGCAGCCCGTGGGCGGAGCAAAGCCAGAGCTGAGTGAATCATGCAGCTTTCAAACTGGACGCAGCAGGAGCAGCAAAATCACGTCTGCTGCTTCATTTTTTGCTGCTTGTACCAGCTTCTGACGCACGGCTGAAGAAGCTTTGCTGCTCTGGCTGCGCGGTCGAAAAGTGGCTCTGATGCGCGTTGGGCGGAGCTACTCTATCCTTTCTTTGCCTTGCAGCTATATTTGCTGTGATCAGTGGGAATAAAGTAGTTTTATTATGTTTTTAAGTGGGAAAATCCACCTGAAAACTTAATCAGTGCAGTCAGTTCATCCTGCCTTCCAATATTTCCGTCGGAGCCGCTCAGACCCCCACATTCTGACTAAAGACTGATGAAAAGGATGCTTATTTTTTTATCTCTCTTTGTAAAATGATGTTTAGAGTTTCTTAAGAAACATCAAAAACTGTGCAAGCCTCCTTTTTCAGGACAGTTTAGGAACTGTACTGGAGAAATCCCCCCCCCCACACACACACACACACACACACACACACAAAAAAGCAACTGAAGTTGTTCTAGTCTACTTTACATAAATATTCTCTAATTGGCTGGGTACCCTGTTAAATTAAACCCAAAGGTTATGTAAAGAATGGTAAGAGGGGACAGGTTTATGAGGGAATACGTTTATACACAGTGATATAACCATAAGATCTACAGTATGAAGACAAGAATTGGAGAGTGTGCAGATATTTTGGATGAGGCCCAAGCAATGAAAGATGGCATTAAAGTGGAAATTAAACAGTTAAACATCTAATTTCACCTCGCTCTTCTAGCGGGTCAAACTTCACGAGTTGTTTTCCGCAATTTCAGTCATAAAAACAAGACAAGCCGACCTCTGGAGCCGAGGTATTGAATTGCACTCATTGCACTGATTTTGTGCAGTATTTTTGCAGTATTTTTTGATGCAACTTTTCTATTTCTGTTATTTGCTGTTGTTTCTAAAAAAAAAATGCATAATGATATTACAGCTTTCATTGATTTATTTCAAATATTAAACATTGTCTAGCCTGTATGGTGAAAAAAAAACAATTGAATCGTATCGTGGTGTATTCTTAAGTATCGAAAATAATCAAATTGTCGCCATGATGGGTGTGATTTACATCCCTACTAGAGTCCTAAGCTGCTAAATTACATTGCTTATGCTTTTGATCCCAATCTGTCTTGGTTCAGTGGATGTATTTGAGGACCGAAATGCAGAGATGATGAGGCAGAGGTGAGTTTTGTAGATTCAGTAAAAGACTGAGGCAGAAACCCAATATACTGAAAACCAAAAACTCAGAAGATGCCAAGCAGAAACGCACACAGGGAGCCAAATAACAACAAAACAAAAAGAAACCAGCAAAGAAGAACTGCATAGGAAGAGTGTGTAGCGGAGACAGAAAAAAGACACTGGTAATCAGCTGATATGGAGCAGGTGCGGATGGAAGTGACTGGAAGGGAGCTAGAGGAAAGGAGATAGGCAGAAGGAGACAAAAGAGTAACTGGAGATGGTTAGAAAACGATTACAAAGAAACTAAAACTAAACCAAAACAGAGGACAGAATCCTTACTTATTCACCTTGGAAACAGGGAATCACGATAAGAAATAGACCATTACTTTGGAGATTTGGATACGCTATGGTGGCCTGTGGCCGAGGCCACCGCTGCTGTGCTGCATAAACATGTTCATCCTGATGGCTCCTGTTTGAGTTATAAAAAAGTGTGTTTAATAAAAGACTTGAATAGGGATAAAGTTAGAGAACTAATCTCTAGTGGTGGACCTTTGTTTTTGAGTTAGGGGAATAATTGATCATTTAATACCTGCCAACCTAACTGTACATGTCACTGATCTGCCTGCTTTCCGTGTTTTTGCACCCTATCATTACGACTGATTGTTGCCAATGACAGTCAGTGCATTCAGAACAGCCAATCCTTTTAGGCAGTGAAATAAAAGACACTTGGTGTAACTTTAGGCTAGCTCACCAGACTCAAAAGTCTGCTGCTGTACATATTCCTCCCAGTGGTGTTCTGTGGGGCAGCAGAGGTAGTCTGAACCCCGGCGCCATAACTACCTCTTCACTTCTTACTACAGCTTGAGTCACACGCTGAATGGACTCATAAGAAATGTTAAGTAAAATCAAATTTCTAAATTATTAGAAATTAGAAAAAAGTTAGAAAACAAACCACTGGACTTTGTTTTCCACTTTGAAGACGTTCTGCTTCCCATCCAGGAAGCTTTTTCAATTCAAAATGTCTGGATTAGCGTTAAGTTGCAAACTTGATAGAATAGCCCAACAAAGCCGTGTTATGGCTGAGCAAACAAGCTAATTAAACCCAATGACTATGAGCTGGATGAAGCATCCACCAACCCTGTTACGTCACCATTTGGAGTACTGCAACATGGCAGCGTCCCCGCCAGAAAATGATAAAATAAGGCTTGATTTTTTTGTTTACATTTTTCACATTTGTAATATAATTATTGCTAATATTAAAACACAATCTTGTGAATGTGTATTGTGTGAATTGTAAAGTTAGTTTGGTTAACTGTTTCATTTCATCTTTAAAAGCCTCATTTAGGCTACTGCTTTCAGTGCAGGCATGGAATTTAAAACTTGCATCACTTAAATTTTTTTGTGTGACTTTTTTCTTTGAGATTTTCATGAATCCATCCTTTTAAATTCACTTTAAATGCATTTAATTTTTGAAGAAGACACTTTCTCGGTAGGGTTAATTGTGGGTAACAGTGTAGAAGATACAGAGGTATTTTAGGGCTTAATCCCAGTTCTTTATTCATAAGGGAGTAATTCCAATTAAGTATAACAGAACAATTGATAATGAGCAAATTATATAGAGAAACAACTCCTGTACCTCAAGCTTGGTTCTCCTTCATCAGGAGAAGGAAACTTGGTTTCCACCCCTTTTATATATTAGCGCCACACCTCCTTAGGCTCCATCTGCCGCACCCAAAGTTCATGATTGCAGTTTCTTGCTTTTACCCCAAGATCACTGCATGTCCATTAGGGGTGGAACGGTTCACAAAATCCACGGTTCGGTTCGGTTCACGGTTTCGTGGTCACGAGTTTTGGTTCGGTATATGTTGATTGTTAGCCTGACATGATGGTCATGTTGCTGTTAGCATAAACAAAACGCTTGCACACTGTTGCACTTTTCTCCACAACTTTCTTTCCGCCGTCATCATAGGTCACTCTAAATGCAAAGTGGTCCCATACAGCAGACCTATAAAGTGCTGCTGGCGCGTCTTCCAACTCCTGTTCTTTCCCACTCGCCATACCCACACAATTCTCCATAACAACTGATTTTTTTCCCTGCTACACCCGGCTACGCTGCTTCGCTTCTTCTTCTTCTTGTTTACTACTGGTGGTTGGCTTTGGTCACAGTACCGCCACCTTCTGTTCTGGAGTGTACACGCTTCGCCTATGAGAAAAAGGAGCAGCGCATGAACCGAACGAAACACACGCGAACCGAACCGAGACAGTCGAACCGAACGGTTCGGGCGATTTTCATAAACCATTCCATCCCTAATGTCCATATAAGGTAACAGAAATACACAGATTAGCATGCATCTAACTGCACGCAAATAACATTTCTACATCTAGCTCTAACAGGAGCATTCACACTGTTGAAGCCAGTCCAGGAAACTGTTAAGGTTAGAAAATGTACACCTTCAGTTTATGCGGTTTGCTTTCAGGGTAAGATTTTAGAAAGTGCCATAAATGATCATGGCAAGGCAAGTTTAACTATATGGCATATTACTGTGGTTAGACAAAAAGTACACCGCAGATGCATAAAGGTAATGATAATTAAGTCAATATTATTATATTGAAAAAGACAGAAATAATTGAAAAAAAACAAACTTAATTTGTTTGGAAAACACAGTCGAAAGCAATTCTAAACAAAAAGCTGTTTAATCCCGATTTATAGCAGCTTTAGGTGGGGAGCAGCATTCTGGATTAACTGCAGCTGTCTGATAGGTTTTCAAACCTGTGAAGGGGCAGTTGCAGTGATCATTCTACTAACTTGAATTCATTTTATAAGATCCCGCCGACACATCAATTCAATTCAGTTTATTTCTATAGCGTCAATTCCCAACACATGTCATCTCAAGGCACTTTATGGAGAAAATTCAACCATCTCATACAGTCAAACTGATTAAGTTATTTATCTAAAACTGGTGATTGCATTCTACTTATTGACTCTTCAGCAATCCCTCACACTGAGCATGCTTGAAGCGACAGTGGAGAGGAAAAACTCCCTTTTAACAGGAAGAAACCTCCAGCAGAACCAGGCTCAGTGTGAGCAGCCATCTGCTGAGGCTGACTCGGGTTCAAGGAGACAGAAGCAGAGATACAGAAAGAAGCAGATCAGTCCTTGAATCCTGGAGATGTTCTTTAGGTGGTAGAAGGCCGACTTTGCTACTGGCTTTATGTGCCTCTGAATGTTCAGGATCACCTGCACTAACCTTTTTTCGGTTGTTTTGTAGCTGTGTTAACTGAAGCTGCATGCTAACTCTTATTCACCCTTCCTTTGATCCACAAACTATGACTTTAGTTTTGTTTTAGTTTAACTGAACGTTTTTGCACATCCATGCATCAAGTTCTTATTTTGCATTTACCCAGCTTTTGAACAGGTTCAGTCACCTGTTCCCGTTGTAATGTACAGCTGTGTGTCATCTGCATAGTTTCTAATAAATTCTGCTTATCTAGATATGGAGTGGGATGAACCCCCTAAGATGTAGCCTTGGAGAACTCCAGATACTAGGAATTGTTTCTGATGCGATATTGCCCCAGTGCTGGTGATCAAGAGCAAACAATACAAAGAAGAAACTTTGTCTTATGGAGTTTCTGTTGCTGCTTTGGGGTTCAAATGTAGTTTTGTACCTGCTCAGTACTCCACCTAGCACTTTCTGTCTTATTTGGAACCCTGATCCTACTTTTTCCTACAGTCCATTGTGTGTGTTTAAAAAATGTTTTTTTTTTAATGTCAAATCATGTCTTCACGCTTTTACTGCACATGGGACGAACACGCATTCACACTGATAGCAGGCTGCTCCAGAAAATGGACATTGAGTCAGTAAGAAGTGGTTTTTAAGTCTTGTGTAAATGCACTATACTGCTCTCCTTGCTGGTTTGCTCCTTTGGTTGTCAGTACAGAACTCCACTGTGAGGTTCTCCACTGAGCGATTGTATATTTTCTTTATATCCTACCCCCTAACTCCCTCTAGAATAGGAAAAAAGAAAAGTCCCTTTGCAAGCACTTGGTTTAGTAACAATATTTGTACTTTATGTCCTTCAGCTTTAGAAATTCTGAAGTCTGTGTTGATTAAAAAAAGTGGAAAAAAAGCTGATCAAAGGATCATTAGTTTGAAAGCCACAAGACCAGGATGTAGACCAGAATACTGCAGCTAAACCACACCTCACTAAACTGTGGGGCAACTGAGTGTATCCATTACAATTCAGGTTTTGAACCTTAATCTCCAAATATTCAGCTATGTTGTGACTGAACTTATGCAAAGTGACCTCCATAAGATCATTGTTTCACCGCAGCCTCTGAGCTCAGACCATGCCAAAGTTTTTCTCTATCAAATTCTTCGAGGTAAGTGCTTATTTATTATTTTTTTCTCCAGCTTTATTGTCGTTACACTGTCACAAGTACAGAGCAATGAAATTAACTCAGCATTTAACCCCTTGGGGAGCAGTGGGCAGCCATTTGCAGGGCCCCCACTTTCCTTGATGGGCCCTTGGCTGGTCCCCTACAATTCCTTTTCAAACATCTAAAATATTCTTTCTGTCATGATTTTTCCACATTAAGATCTAAAGAGAATAATTATCTCCTGGTCAGACCCTGTAATTCAGTGAAACGGTGGAGTCAGAGTTAAAAAATATGCACGCCCAGGAGAAGGCCAGTGGCTGGAAGTTGGAGGGGATTCTGCTGCCATTCTGCTGCCAGGCTTTGACTGAGAAGGGCCATTTTGAATGGCTGCTACTGTATTTGCAAAAAATTAAAAAATAACAATCCACTAGACTTTGTTTCTAAGTTTGAAGACGTTTCGCTTCCCATCCAGGAAGCTTTTTCAATTCAAAATGTCTGAAATAGAGTTGAGTTCCAGGCTTTATACAGCAGCCCAAAAAAGGCTTTACAAAACATGCAAACTGAAAGGGACGAACGGGTCCACCCCTTTGGAATACGTGTCGTTTGGCTTCCTTTGTTAGCCTGCAATGCCCCATACCTGTCTATGTCCAGTGGATTGTTTTACTTTCCTTGAATGACTATGACCGATGACTGAGAAAAAACAAGAGGTGTTTTCTAATGTAACATAGTAGCAGGATTCTGGTGAAGATTCTCAGAGTCAAATTCTAGTTTAAAAGATCAAGTATCAGATCCATTACTTGAGTTTGAAGTTATCAAGGTTCAAGATGAGATTTTTTTGGGTGTGTTGTGCTTCTGAGGCTCTGATGGCTGTCAGGAGTTCTATTTCATCCCTACTGACCGCCAGAGGCGGTGCTTCAAGCACTGCCTCTGGCGGTCAGTAGGGATGAAATAGAACAGTAGTTACGGTAGTAACTTTCATTCTCCAGGGTTCTAATCACATATAATTATTTTTACTATATGTTTGTTTTTTTCCAACCACCAACTGCAGGACTTAAATACCTGCACTCTGCTGGAATTCTGCACCGGGATATCAAACCTGGCAACCTCCTGGTCAACAGCAACTGTGTGCTCAAGGTGCTTATAAATGCTACTATGATTGCATCCATGTATGCCCCCCTTTTCCACCTGCTCTACTTGGCAGGGCTCTGCTCCATATGGAGTGAATTCTGTTCCATTATTCTTGCAAGTAAAGAAAAGTAAATGAAAAATCAAAGAAGAAAAATACAATCCAAAGATCAAAACTTTGAACAAAGTTCTTAGTAAAAACTTTTTTTTGAAAGAAAGTAACATTACAAGGTTTTTACATATTTTGTCTCTTATTTCAACAATTATTTTTAAGGTTTCAGCATTTCCATCAGAGCCTTTTTTTTTTTTTTTTTCTCTTTCCCTTAACAAACCCTGCTTTTTGCTTGAAACGGTAATTGAACAACATTCACTCCATAACTCCACCCTGTCAGTTTCCATGACTGATTTTCAGTACTGGTGCTGCCTTACTCATCTCTGATCATACCTAATCCGGAGCAGGACCCATAAAAGCTTTTCCCGGTACTAAATATGTAGAGTCAGGCCAAGTGGAGCCGATGTAAAAGGGGCATTTTTCTGTAGAATTTATGTTCGCCATTTGGTCAGTATTCACTTTCAGTTGTTTTATGCTAATTGACCTTTTTGAGAATGTATCTTGAATACTTTATGTTTAAGAAATTCTATTCATAAATTGATTCTTCAAGATGAAAAAAAAAGTATGTTTTTTCCATTGTCATCATAGACCCAGTTGAGATATTATTAAAAAGATGTTTAGTCTCAGCAAAGAAAAACGACAAAGTCAATGAAAAAGGAAAATCTTTGAGAGGATTTACAGATGTTGCTGTCTATCTGTTTAGATCTGTGATTTTGGGCTGGCCCGTGTGGAGGAGTCGGATGAGTCCCGACACATGACTCAGGAAGTGGTGACACAGTACTACAGAGCACCAGAGATCCTTATGGGCAGCCGCCATTACACCTACTCCATCGATATTTGGTCTGTGGGCTGCATCTTCGCAGAGCTGCTGGGTCGGCGTATCCTCTTCCAAGCTCAAAGTCCCATTCAGCAGGTAATCTCTCTAGAGGTGACGTATCAATTCAATTCAGTTTATTTATATAGCGCCAATTCACAATACGTCATCTTCAAGGCATTTACAGAAACGATTCAACCAGATCATACAGTCAAATTGGTTAAAAGTTTTCTAAGGAAAACCAGTTGATTGAATCGACTCATCTACTTGAAAGCAATCCCTCACACTAAGCATGCTTTTAGTGACAGTGGAGAGGAAAACTCCCTTTTAACAGGAAGAAACCTCAAACAGAACCAGGCTCAGTGTGAGCGGCCATCTGCTATTTGGGGTTCAAGGAGACAGAAGTGGAAAAAGAAAAGGAAGCAGAGATATAAAAGGTCAACCCGCTGTCAACTAGCTCCCCAGGTGGCCCTGTTCAGGAAAGACGCAGCCAGGTGGAAAGGCTGTGAGCCAGCTCCCATGTCAGAGAGTAAAGGAGAGCACATGCAGTTAGTCACAGTCAGAGCAACAAGAATACACTGAAAAGAGGCCAAGATCCAACATCTATAAACAAAGGTGTTGATGGAAGCAGCACAGCTGATATTTCTCTCCAGGATGATGTCATAGCCAAAGAGGAACAGACCAGAGGGAGCTTCTATTGTGAGAAAAAGCAGAGAGAGCAGAATGTTAGAAATTGAACTAAGAAATACTGCAGAATGGGAGAATAGAGATGAATGATGAAAAGGGATCCTTGTGTCCTCCAGCAGTCTAAGCCTATAGCAGCACAAATGCAGAAAATAGGATAACCTTAGTAGTATGAAGGAAGTATAAGAAGGGTAGAGTCAGGGGTGTGCTTCGCTGAAATACAAGCTACCAGTACCATGAAAAGCTAGAAAAAAAAGAACAAGCTAGAAAAAAAAGAACGGTAGAGCCTAGGAGAAACTTCTATCCGGATTGAAATTCTCCCCCACTGGATTGGGCTGTTAACGCTCTACCTCCACCTGTCTCCCTACTGTGGTGACGTATCTAGTTTCATATTGATGAAATCATCATGATGATGATGATTATTGATCAATATCTTCAATATGAAACTAGACAATGTTTAGGGGAGTCGCCTTTCTGTGGTGGAGCGAAGCCTCATGTGATTTATTTTACCGTCAAACAGAATATGGGAAACTCAAACAGTTTTGAATTATTTCTGGGATGATTTTTTTTTTTCTTCCCGCCTTTAGCTGGATTTAATCACTGACCTACTGGGGACGCCTTCTATGGAGGCAATGCGGACGGCATGTGAAGGAGCTCGCGCTCACATTCTCAGAGGAACTCAGAAACAGGTAACCAGTCTGGTAATGATGTTTGAATCATTTAGATTCCATTTTTTTCCCAAAGGCTTTTTCTTTGACCACTATGGACGTGCCTTTTATTGTAGACATTAGTGTTTTTGTGCTTCTTTGCTTCACTGAGGTCATTACAATACAGGAATATTTGCCTAAAACTGGAAAGCTTCTTGAAATATGGGGCGTTGCCTTAAAAATTAGTGATAAGCTTTAGTTGTGTAATCATGTATATTGTGGACTTATTCCAACCTACAGGCTGGTTTAGCTCATCTAAGAGTTCCTGAAGTGGTCCAGGTTTCACTCCTTTCTATGTTTTTTTTTTTCTCTACAGCCATCCCTTCCTGTTCTCTACACACTTTCCAGCCAGGCAACCCATGAAGCAGTTCATCTCTTATGCAGGATGCTGGTGTTTGATCCAGTAAGTCATTCCTTTTCTATAATTACACCTTATCAGTAGAATTGTCTCCACCTCAAAGGAAACCTTACCTCTCATCCATACGAAGCCGGCGTTTCGGGGGTCTGTGAACTATCTTTTTTTTTATTAAGCCATCAGAGTGGGAAGATTTTGAAACGCCGTTTTCGCGTTTCCATCTTTAAGCTCTAACCTCATTTTTTTTCTTACACGCATGCGTCATAGCGTCGCCTCTAAACACGCATGCGCGACACAGTATCACAACAACAATGGCGCCGTACTGTGTTGAATGGTTGCTGCTCATGCTACTCACCCTGCTGTCGGGCTTACAACAGAATCTTCTTCTTCTGGAATATCTCCAGGAAGAACAGAGCAATATCGACCACATAGTTCAGCACCTGAATTTGACTGAACCACGAAAATGGACCCACAGGGCAACCATGCATAAATATTACTGCGCATGCCCAACATTTCGTCGCCTATTTTTGCTTTGGCACCACAGCGCCACTTACAGGCCTGGCATACATTTTGCAGCATTTTCATGCATTCGTGTGGACGATCACATTTATTTTACGTCTCCGTCTTTACGACAAACGTTCTGGAAAATATTAGCGTTTCGTGTTCGTTTTGATTTCATGTGGACGGGGCCTTAGTCTGTCAGGTTCCTCCTGGGTTAAGGTAAACCATAGTAATGTAAATCGCCTTATTGTCCAACAATGGGGAGCAGTGGGCTGCTACCAACCCTCCCACTATACATAACCTGATAATGGTTCATACAGGTTGCATGGAACCCCAATCCCTTCATGTAATGAGTTTTTGTGCTTCCCATGAGACACACGCAACAAAAGCATGATGATTTAGTTTACTTATAATTTAATCATTGAATATAAACCTTATTTTTTGTATAGCATAGTTGAACATGGATATTTCACCTTCAAAATTTGCTCACACTCTTCAAAAAATAGAAATCTGTATGTAATTTTTAATTTTTTTTTTTTGAGTTTTTGCGGCATTAGTGGCTTGTTTTTTAGACAGTAGGCTGACAGGAAAGGGGGTATGAGAGAGGGGGAGTGACATATTGCAAAGCACCACAGGTCGGATTCGAACCCGGGTCGGCCGCGTAGAGGACTAAGGCCATAGATGGGTCGTGTGCGCTAACCGCCGTGCGACTTGACACCCCTGTATGTAATTTTTTCCTTAAAATAAGTATTCTTTTCTTGAATTGATGAGGTAATTGAGATACTTTCCCAGTGGAATAAAATTGACATTTAAAATAAGGCAAAATTATGCATTGTCAAGTGCATTTTATCTAATCATCTTATTTTAAGAGTAAATATAGTCGTTCCATTGGCAAATCAGCTTAATTACCTACTCAAATTTAGGGTAAATATTGTTAATTTTTACTTTGAAAACTTTGAATCAACATGACCTATGATCTGGAAAAGAATCTCAGTCATCGAGGTCATAGTCATTCCAAAAAAAGTAAAAAAAACAATCCACTGGACTTTGTTTCCAAGTTTGAAGACGTTTCGCTTTACGTCCAGGAAGCTTTTTCTATATATATATATATATATATATATATATATATATATATATTAGGGTTGTCACGATACTAAACTTTTCAACTGGATACCGATACTAAGGAAAATATTCGATACTCGATACCATTTTCGATACCACGAGGATAAAAACAAAGACTCCAAAATTCTACAGAAATATTTTCATGAATAAATAAATACAATAAAGGTTGTATGCTGTGCACAATATTGAGCAAGCTTGATAAAAAACGTATAAAATTAAAATGAAGTGTTCCTTCCTTGGCTATGCTTCGCACACATAACAATGAAACTAGCCAAACCGGTTAAGAAACAAAAATAATTCTCAGCAGCTGCACCTCTTACAAAAAAAAAGTCTGAAACTGAAAAGTGCGTAGAATTATTCAATCACACAGTGTTCTGAAAGTGCATTGTCCTCTATTCTGCACTTTAGATGAATGACTGCTTAGGTGCCACTGGTGGTGGCACTGTATCGATACTTTTAAAAACGAGTATTGTATCCGGATAAAACATTTTATTATCGATACTTTTTTGAGTTTCGATACTTTTGACAACCCTAATATATATATATATATATAAGTTGGTCAAAAATCGTTTTACAAAACCTCCCATGATCACGCCAGTCATTTTACAAAAGCCTCCTCCATCACGCCTGTTCTGAATCTCTTAAAGGAATGGGAGGGTTTAAAAGAAATATAAACAATTCTAAATATAGAAACTACAGATTTCTGTCCCAAACTGAAATATATTCTTTCTAGCGAAACAAGTAAATGAATGGAACTTACAATTTTAAAAATATGACATAAATAGCCACAACAGGCCCTTAGTGACGCCAGGTCAGAGAGGATGGGAATCTGACAGCCATGAATGAAGCTATTCATGAGGCATAATGTGTAGGTTTTGCTGCTGAGTGAACTGATGTGAACAACAATAGACAGCTGTTCCCTTTTAACAAGAGCTGAACTCTGTCCAGCCTACCATTTTAAGCTAGCACAATCAAATAAAGGAATCCTTTTGTCAACAGAAAATAAATTGAGAGTATTGTAATCATTGTGTAATGACCTCAAGCTTGAGCTCTAAATGGTTCTGATTATACTTGAGATTTTCAGCCATGCAGAATTAATTTATACTTGCTGGCAGATGATATCTTTGGAGGTATTTTAAGATCCAACCTTCAGCTGTTTTTAGATGCCATTGAACACTGAACGCTAGAGTATTTACCTGCACTGCCCACTTTAGAAAAATGATTGTCAAGAATAAAGGAGTCTTAAAATAAAATGTGCACCATCTAATCCACTTTCCCTGGCCCCTGGTTCTATTACAGCTTAACCAGATTTCAAAATTGCACCTGCTTAAATCCAGACAACGAGTTTTGAAATCAGGTGATCAGGGCCTGAAAAAACTACAAGCTACTACCCACTGTAACCAGGAGGAGTTAGTCCTGCAGTCCCAATGACTGGATATGATCTACTGGGTTTCCTGAAGCCCCTGTCAGACCTTCATGTGAATTCATTTGATTTCTGTGTTACTGGTGAGACAGAGATTTTAGGATCCCCGCCGAAGATTATCTGTATTTAAAACCATGTAGAACTTAGAACTTAAAACATGACAAGGTTGTTTTTCCTGTTAAAAGTATATATATATATACTGTATGTAATTAAATGTTGTTGGTCTGCAGATGTTTGAACTGCTTTATTGTATGACTTTCTAGCTCTAAATGAAACGTGTGTAATTCATTGGTTTGTAGTCGAAGAGGATTTCTGCCAAGGATGCCCTGGCCCACCCTTACCTACACGAGGGTCGACTCCGCTACCATACATGCATGTGCAAATGCTGCTACACCACGTCCTCTGGCCGCGTCTATACCAGTGACTTTGAACCGGTCACAAACTCCAAGTTTGATGATGGCTTTGAGAAAAACCTGACGTCTGTGAGACAAGTCAAAGGTAAGCTTTGTGAGGTCTAGGGCTGCAACTAACGATTATTTTGAAAATCGATGAATCGGCCGATTATTTTTTCGATTAATCGATGAATCGGACACAAAATATTTTTTTTATATTAACCTCTTCATTCCAAAATAAACATTTTAGACAGAACAAACAAGCACACAAGTACAGGTTTCTCATTAACTGTACTGGTGCAATATGAAAAATAAATGTTTGTGTTAAAACTACGCAAACTTACATGAGAAATGTAGCTGTACATCCACAAAATATAGGCTACTTTGTTTCATAAAGCGCAAAAAGAGACAGGCATTTTTGTTTTTTAAAGCCCCTAAGGGGTTCAAACAATAGCCCCCCCCCCCCCCCCCCCCCCCCCCCCCCCCATTTCAACAAATGAGGTTTTTTTTAGACTAGAAGAGTTCTGCCTTTTAAGACAGGAAAGTATAGCAGTTAAAGTTGCTACTTGAGAAAATACTAGCCCTGTGATTCAAATTATAAATTGTATTTGGAATAAAAATGAGAGAACTAGGGGTGCTAAAAAACACATCCTCCAAAGACAGATATTTACATGGGAATGTGGCAGATAATTAATTGACATATTACTGATCTTGCTGGATTTTATTCTGCTTTACTTCCATAAATTGCAGGATCTTCTTTACTTTATCTTTGCCAGAAGATTTAAACTTTAAAAGCCTTGCCCTCATAATTTGCAAACTAATTTATTTATAAAGAAAATATAAACGCTGCTTAAGCTAATTCAAATGAAATTAAAAGTAAAATAAGTAGCCAACCTTATCACTGTCTGTAACCTACTAACAAGCTAAGGAAAGCATCAGACGAGCTACCTGAGAAACTAACTTACGTTTCCCCACTTTAAAATGAAAAAAACATGGTTACTCATCCTGCTGATCAGCTCTATTCACTGCCATTGAAGGCTCCAACGTGTTTTCTTTTCAGGTGCTGCGTCATAACAGGTGCCATGTTCATTTGTTTTTACAAAAGTTGCATGTTACGACTTTTTTCACTTTACAAAGCGCAGGCTATTTTAATTATTGTGATCAATTTGCGCCGTCAATCCCGGGGCATGCGCGCTTCATTTGCAGTCTGGACGCTGAGGGTAAACTCCTCACTAAAATCCTGCGGCTCGGACTGCAGCGCTGAGAGGGATTCCTGTGGGAGAGGGAGAAAGGCGTTGGGATGGGGGAGGCGCCCCACGGCAGCAGCTGCCGCTGTAGGAGAAGAGTAGGAACGATACACGCTTTCACGTAAGAGTCTCCAAAAGCCGCCAGTGACACCGTCAAAAGTCGCCAGATTTGTCGCTAGTAGCTTTTAAAAAAAATAGTCGCTGGAGGGGTCTGAAAAGTCGCTGAGTTGGCAACACTGCAACTGCGGCGCTGACTCGCTCCGCCATATTTTTTTTTCTTCCCCGGGATGACGGCGGCGGCGGATGACGCATTAATCGCGCGACACAACTAATCGATGATTAAATTCGTTGCCAACGCTTTTAAAAGTCGATTTTTATCGATTCGTTGTTGCAGCCCTAGTGAGGTCCTGTCAGTTCTGTATTTGGGGCCAGATTCATTCTGGTCTGTTAATAATAATGAAAAGTTGGACAAAATAATTATTTGATTGAAGATGCATTCATTGATTTTAGTTTTTCCTGCTCTGGCTGCCATAAAATAAGTTTTCTGGGATCATAACTCTGTATGTGCATTTATTCAGAACCCTTCAGTGGGTCTCAAGGCAGAGCAGGGTTTTCTCCCACCACTGAGTGTGAGGGCATTATTGTTTGTTTCGTAAAAATATAAAGATATCTGAGAATGATCTCTGCTCCCCGTTTCGGGTTACTTTCAAGTAGGGCTGTCAAACGATTAAAATGTTTAATCTAATTAATCACAAGGTTTCTTGAATTAATTTTGATTAATCACTAGCCAAAATATTATTGAAAAATACACATTTTCTGTGTACTGTTTTCAAAACAGAAAGATAAACAAGATGGGTATTACATTTAGTTTTTATTAATGACAAATCCAAAAAAAGAATTTAATTCTCAACAATTTTGGCATCTTAGCCGTTGCTTTTTTTTTTAGTAAATACAGGATGGGTGAATGGAACGTTTTTCGTTTAAAACAAACAACTTGACTTTTAATTTTTTTTTTTTTTTTTTTGATATACTCTAATAATCCCAGAGGGAAATTACTTCTCTGCATTTAACCCATCCCCTTGGGGAGCAGTGAGCTGCCATTGTGAGGCGCCCGGGGAGCAGTGTGAGGTTAAGGGTCTTGCTCAGGGACCCAGAGTGGCAGTCTGTGGGAGTGGGGGATCGAACTCACAATCTCAGGATTGAAAGCCCTATACCCTAACCACTAGGCTGCCACTCCCCAACAACAACATACATTTTTTTTTTTTTTTTTTTTTTTTTTTTTTTTTTTTTTTTTTTTGTGTGCTGATCGAGGCACTAAGAGACCTTATACTTGATTGGAAATGTTTTGAAGTTTGATTTTGTTTGTTTCCCCAAACAGAGATCATCCATCAGTTTATTTTGGAACAACAAAAGGGGAGTCAAGTTCCCCTCTGCATCAACCCTCAGTCAGCTGCTTTCAAAAGCTTCATAAGGTGAGGAGACACTTTCTTACCAAACACTAACGTCTTCAACTATTTTTATAAGAAAAGCTTTTTAGTCCTTTTTTACTTTAGAGCAGAGTCTCTATAAGCTCTTTGCCCAAAAATGGGAGAAAGCAGATTTACTTTATTAGTGTCTCAGTCAGGCTTTTAGCTAAGAAAATTTCAGAGTTTACACCGTGGTGTATCACATCTTTAGGCTTTGTGCAGCATAGGAAAATTTTGAAATTTATACTCTCTGAAATGCTATTTTAAGGCGGAACATTCCCTGTTAAGGGGTCGGGGTTGCGATGATAGGGGGAAGGGATCAACTCAATTGCTGCATTGTAGGTTTTTGAAAGCTCAAATATTAGTCCACCAGTTTTAGCTTCCAAAAAACCTACAATGCAGCGATTGATTGATCCCTTCCCCCTATCATCGCAACCCCGACCCCTTTACAGGGGAAAAAAAAGACCTCCCCTATTCAGCCAGGCGAAAAATTCTGACCCCCTTTCAGAGACATAGACCGGTATCGGCTGTTACAGGCTAACAAAAGAACCCAAATGACCCCCATTCCAAAGGGGTGGACCTGTTCGTCCGTTTCTATTTGCATGTTTTCTAAATGAGGAGTTTGCTGAGCTACTGTATAAAGCCTGGAACTCAATGATATTTCTGACATTTTGAATTGAGAACGTTTTCTAGATGGGAAGCAAAACGTCTTCAAACTTGGAAACAGAGTCCAGTGGATTGTTTATTAACTTTTTTGACATAATGAAGAAAAAAACAAACTACACTGATTTTCAAACAGTATTCGTTGGGATGAACCTTATTTTTAATGCCCTGCATTTAGTCGTGTTCTTCACCATTCATTTTAAAGGCTGCTGGGGTCAGAGGGAAGGCCTTAACAGGTGGAAACCCAGAGCTTCTTACTATTTTGTTAACTTTAGAGTTCTGCCACTAGAGGTCAGTGTGTGCTCTCTGGTTTATGGAGTAAGAAATGCCTGCGTTAAAACTGTCCCCGGTTTTGCTGCGCATACAGCATGTAATTGGACTGTAGTATGAAAATATACTTAATTTTATTATAGTGAGAACCAAGCTTGTTTTTTAATGGGTAATATCTGACGCTTATATTTGCTTTCTAATAGGGCTGCAACTTACAATGATTTTGCAAATCTATTATAAAGCAGTCTCTGTTCAAAGCAGCAAACGTTGAATTTCTTACATGGACCTCTAATGAGCAAATGCAGCCTGACAGAAACTAAATCAATGTCCACGCGAGCTCACACTTTGCTACAGCGAACAGACGCTGATTATGCTGATTATTCCCTCTGTCTTGTGGTGCTGCTTAATCTGTTAATTATTTTTACAATTAATCGATTAATAATCGGACAGCCAAAGGTTTCTTAAAGAAGATTTTTTTTTCTACTAAACGAAACCAGGTGGAACTGAAACTTTTTCATTTGAGGAGTTCTGGATTGAGCATATTGACACATGAAAACATTTTTCTTATCTTAAATTCAAAATATATATTTTTTTGTTGCAATTTTGGTATAATAACTGCTGTAACTGGGTCGCCTGTCAGCTAAAGGCATGTTTCACAGTCTCTATACTCCAGCTAACGATTAATCAGTTACTAAATTAGTTGATGATTTTTTTTCAATAATCAATTAATCACAATTAATCCGATTAATTGTTTCAGCCCTAATTTCTAAACATTTAATTAGTGTCTTAGTTGAAGCACATGTGAAAGTTGCCATCATCTTCGGTCCAGATGCTGCCATGCGGAAAACGGTCTTTTCCTTTACAGGCTGTAGGACGACTAACGTTATAAACTTTCTGATGACATTAACATCACGGACCGCCATCTTTATGTATGTGTAAAGGAAAAGTCCGGTCAGCAAGGAATAATCAACAGATCATTATTTATATCTAAAATTAATACGTTTGAGTCTGGGAGCGGCCATTTTTGCCTAAACACAGTAACCCTTTCCTCCTGCCATCTTCCGGCAATGACGTCACGGTACTTGGGACTTGATCAACAGCCGATACCGCACCGTGACGTCACAAACCAGTAGGTGGCAGTAGTGTTCTTTGACAAACATGGATGCCTCCAGTAAAGATCATTCACATGAAAATTACTCTTAATTAAAAACACTGATCATTTTCTGAACAGTATTTAATAATTTCATATTTTAATATTTTATATTTAAGTTTGAAGTTTACCATGTTAGCATCATTAGCTCAGAGCTAAAAGTCAGGCAACTCCTTCCCAGTAATCCCAGTTATTTGTTCCCCTGCTTCCCAACAGCTCCACCGTGGCTCAGCCCTCTGAAATGCCTCCGTCTCCTCTTGTGTGGGAATAGCTGCTGCTGTGCGCCATCATTTCCCAGCTGACCAGGTGGAACCGGAAATCAGCTGATCATCATCATCTTCTTCTACGTAGCATTTCACTGGAGAGCAGGACTCGCAGCTCAGCTCTGCTCCAGTGGTCACATGGAGAAGTTGACCAACTTTTTTTGGAGTTTAAAGGTTTGATGTACAAACGATGGGACAGCAGTGAGATAGAAGAGAAGTAAAAGGTCTACTAATGTGTTAGCTACTGATCAGACTTTAAATTATTTAGAACTATGGGTTATAATCATAGATTTCTGCCTGTTGTGAATTGCTTTGTTGACTTTAACAGTTTGGCGTTTTCCTGTTCTGACGTGGGTCCTTCAGGACCCATCTGCTTCATAAGAAGACAATCGGCTCTGACTGTGTCTGAAGAACCAATAGATTCCCAGAACCTGTTGTTGAAGGGTTTTAAAATTTGTTTTGGTTTGTTTTTTTTCCTCACCTAACTTTATTTAATTTACCAAAGATTATGAGCCTGGGGTCAGAAGGACCAAAGGAGGTAGCCGACGGGCCCTGTGTTCGGCAGGCCTTCCCGTTGTTCAGCAGGGGTCAGGCTTTATGTTAAGGTCTGATATTCCAAATGGTTTTAATTGAAGGTGTCTTAAAAGATCCAACCTTCCCTGTTACTGTTTTGTTCTCCTCTTCAGAAATTCATAGGTTCTGATTATGTTGGAGCAAGAACTGCTCTGTTGGTTTACTAGGAGTCTTAGTGTGTTTCTTTTTTTCTGATCTTATTTTTGAGCATTTCTTCCTGAATCACTGTTCTCCAGAGGTGCAAATGTTGCTGGGCTTGTGGACCAGTACTGGACCTGGTTCTGGAGCCTTGTTTTGTTTTGTGTAGAGCAACTTTCCACAGACCCTGGATCAGATTGTTGGTCTGATTGAATCTTAGTTGGACCACTGTAATCAGCTGTGCAGCAGCTTTTAGCTTGTTTGAGGGTTCTGGTGCTTTTGGGTTCAGATCTTGTTATGAAGTGTCTGATGCTCTCAGTCTGGACCCAGACCATAAGCTACAGTAGCCACACTTTTAATTGAGCCTCTGTCACCTGGACAACCTTGTTGGGTCAGAACCACTGCATTACAAGCTCTTTATTCAAAGCATTTTGGTTTTGGTGGCAAACGGCTTGAACTAACAATCCACCGGTTTTTTGAAGAGTGCCCCCTAGCTGAGGGCCCAGAAGGGACAGTTATGCTCTGGGTCAACATGTTTTATCAGAATCTTCATGTTATTACATGATTCTGCAGATTGAAGCTTTTTTCTTTTACTCTGGAAACAGTTCAGTCTGTCATCACTCCTCTTAAAGTTTCCCCCTGGAGTGTCAAACTGCACTAATGAGCCCTAAATACATTAGATAGAGTTAAAGGTGGATTCTTTCTGAATTAAAGCAGTATTTATCCTTAAAGGTCCCCAAATAGTGGAGAACAAAGTTAGACTTTTCCCTAAGAACCAACGAGGATGGTGCTCAGCTGAAAACTCAGCTGATTTCCGGCCTCTGATTGGTTCCTGTTCCTGGCAGGGGACTTTCTGCTTTAGAAGAAATATAGCTCCTTACATGCCAGCTGTGTTCCTGTCTCTTCTGAAGCACGGTCCGGTTAGAGACAACCTCCATTTAGTTTCATGGTTCCTGACCTTGTGGTGCTGGTGTGGGTTTTGTGGACCCACATCAGAACCAAGTTCCTCTGGTTTTCAAAAAGTGAGTTTTTTTTCTCAGACTTCAGTGGTTTTCCATGTTCTGGTGACCTTTGAGCAATTCTTTCTCTAGATGTTGGTGATTTGATCTTTATGGCTTCCATGGTTGGACTTTTAGGCTTCCTATGCAGCCTCGGATGATGAAAATCCATAATTCTGATATTTCAAAGGTTTTATTTTTAATTTTGGTTAAAATTTTTGATTTTCAAGTTGCAAACAGATAAAAGTTTCCTGAATAAAAAATAGTTTTTTTTTTTTTCTCTCAAAAATCTTTCACCCATAAAGCCAAGTTTTGATCTAAACACCAAACATGCGATTAAAGTCTGGGGTTATAGTTACTAGGGATGTTCCCATAAAATTTTTAAATTATCCATACAGCAGTAATACTGCAGCTTTGAGTATTGACAGATACAGAGTCAGACCAATAAGATTTATCAGCATGAATCATACATACTTTCATCACTTATTTTGTAGTGTGGAATATTTTAAACGTCGTTGATCGAGGAACCTTACTTAAAAAGAGAACAGCTAACCCATTTATTTCTGAACAATACATGAAATCAAACAGAAGTGTTTTCATCAGCATCCTTCTAGCTGGGGCCTGTAAGTTAACGTCTTTATAATCTGATCTTAGTTTTCTGGCTGATATTTTTGTTATGCATTTAGAGACACTTTTATCCAAAAAGTCTTACACTGCAAAAAAAAATGTAAATCTAAATAAGTCATTTTTTTCCTAAATATAAGTGCATTTTTTCTTAAATTGAGGAGGTAAGTGAGACATTTTGCAATTGAAACGAGATAATTTACATTTAAAAGAAGAAAAAACAACTGCTTAGATACAGAGTGCATAATATCTGATTATCTTATTCTAAGAGTAAAAATAGTAATTCCATTTGCAAACATTTACCTGCTCAAATTAAGAGTAAATTCACTTCATTAAAGACCGTCTTTGCAGTGTAAAAGCTAGACATAATGTTAAAATGTCATTAGCATGAAGGATCTTGCCTAAGGACCTACACTGGTCGTCCATTTGGTCAGAAGATCTCAAACCTACTGGTTCAGCGTAGAGACACTGAAGTTAATGAAATACTGAAACTTTATTCACTTTATTTATACGGCGCCAGCTCACAGCAGCTACAGTCTCATATGATATGTATGTAATACTTTTTTCCCCGTTGTGTTTTCGTGGTCGTTGGCATGTTTTCATCATACTAAGCCTAATTATTTACACACGGGGAATGGAAAAGAGAAAAGGAAATCTGCTCAACAATCAAAAGAGAAGACGCCACTGTATAGAAACTATATCAGCCTGAACATTTCAGAGGCTTTGATTTTATTTTTTAAATCTACAAATGTAAATGGATATATATTTAGATTTTTTTAAAGTCCTGTAATTAGGGAGTATTTGATGAAACAAATCCTTTACTGACCTGGAGAGTCCACAGTCTAGTAATAATGTATGTACAGCAGAGATGTAAATATATCCAAGGAGCTGTCTTTTTGTTATTGTTTTTAATGATGTCCTGCAGCAACACTGTGTGAATATGTACATAAAGGTTCCCTACTTTGGTCTCTACCTCTTGATCTCAGCGACCTGGAGTGTTTTAGCCCTTCTGGAGATAAACATAATCAAACAGCTGACTGTTCATTCACTTCACTGCCCCTCGGACATTTCAATCAAAGGGTTTGTAGAACAGAGCCCTGCTGCTCTCCAAGGGTTTCCTGACTGTTTTCACTCTGAGGGGAAGGGAAGTTGGGGCACTGTTTCCACCACAGCAGCTGGATTCAAAGTTTGGTCTTTAGAGAACTGAAATTGGCAGGAAATCGATCTGTTCGCTTTTATTTAGCCTCTCACTTTCAGTTCTGGTAGGTCCACAGTTCAACAGCAGCTCATCTGAACAATGAGGCCTGCCTCCCTTTGATCAAATGTTGATTATATTCTGTCCTCCATCAGGAGTCAGCTGGATTTTCAGGGTACCTGGATTTCTAAAATCTAGGCGACATTGCAGTGGTCACAGATCACATTAACATCCATGCATCGTGCACCTCTTTAAATGCTTCACTGGACAGTCGGCATGAATTAAACTCAACAGAGCTTCAGTTTTAACAGTGCTCCATTTTAATGGAACCAACCAATTCAATTCAGTTTATTTCTATAGCACCAATTCACAACACACGTCATCTCAAGGCACTTTACAGTTCACTAGATCATACGGTCAGATTGATTCAAAGTTTTCTATCTTAAGGAAAACCAGTTGATTGCATTGACTCGAAGACAATCCCTCACACTAAGCATGCTTGTAGCGACAGTGGAGAGGAAAAACTCCCTTTTAACAGGAAGAAACCTCCAGCAGAACCAGGCTCAGTGTGAGCGGCCATCTGCTGAGGCCGACTGGGGTTCAAGGAGACCGAAGCAGAGATACAAAAAGCAGCTGTAAAAGGCGGCCCCGTCCAGGAAACACACAGCCAGGCAGACGAGCTCCGAGTCAGCTCCCATGTCAGAGGATGAAGAGAGCACATCCAGCCATTATGTGCAAGAAACTTACATTCAAAGTTTTCGAGCTGAAATCATTCTCCCAGATTATTTGTGAAGAGTAAAGCAGCATGATGACAGGGATGTTGATTATCTCTACAACATACAGATTTATAGACACCAGGGGTGGGCAATTTCAGTTCCTGAGGCCCGGTATCGTGCAACTTTTGGTTCCTCCTTGGTCCAACACACCTGAATCAAGTGACTGGGTTACCTCCTCAGCATGCAGTCAGTTTCTCCAGAGTTCTCTCAATCATCTAATTGTTTTAGGTGTGTTGAACCAAAGGCACTTCTAAAAGTTGCATGATACCCACCCCTGATCTATACAGATAGAAAAGTTATTTAATTTAGTCCCCAATTATTAAATTAAACTATATATGTTTATCACTTATAGACTTCTATCTTAAATTCAATTTCTTAGGGGGTAAAAAACCACTAAATTCTTGGAACTCATGGCTTTTTACCGCTGATAAGCCAACTGACTCCAAACCAATTCAATTCAGTTTATTTCTATAGTGCCAATTCACAACACACGTCATTTCAAGGCTCTTTACAGTTCACCAAATCATACAGTTAAATTGTTTCAAAATTTTATTTCTAAGGAAAACCGGTTGATTGCATCGACTCGTTGACTTGAAGGCAATCCCTCACACTTGTATGAAGTGTGAGGGATTGCCTCAATTTTGAAGGCAAGCCACTTTAGTTGAAACACACAGAGGTTGCGGTTTAAAAGTTTCCCTTCAGGCTGAAAGCCAGTCGAACGTTCTCCCCTTTCCAGCCAAGTTCCCTCCAAAGTCCAGCCGCTGTCTATGTTGACTGTAACTCCACCCACTTATTGAAACACCCTGTGTTTCAAGTTTACTCTCAGGCAGCTTAGTGGTGAGGCCTTAATGACGACGTAATCGCTGGGGATTACATTACCTCCCACAGACCTGTTGGTTACCAGTGGAGGACCTGCTTTGGACCCATCATGGAAGCGGAAACTTTTAAACGCTGCAGAACACGTCTTCTTAAAGTTCTCTATGGGGTCCGTTCACTCAGATCATCCGGACAGATTTAAAAGGTTTGCATCGGGGGAAACCTAGCTTGTAGCATCAAGTAATTGGCTTCAGGATTCTTTCCTCCTGGATGAACATGTAGTGACGTTGAACACAGACACCTGCAAAGGTGTTTCCTTCATGGGGAAGATGGTCGCTGACTCGCTCCACTGAAGTAGTACTCTGTAAGCACACATACTTATAGCTTATGGAAAACACCCATCAACAAGATCCCTTCAAGAATTGTGGGAACTTGGCAAGTAATGGACTGAGGCTGGAGTTTGCACATGAAGAGCCATTAGGACTTTACAGATGTCTCATTCCTGTGTCAAGCCGCTCCTAAGCCAACAATTCTCACTGACCAACTGCATCAGCATTGAGATGGACAAATGTTATAAAGGCTTCATCTCTAAGCGTCTTTGTAATTTTTACGACATCAATAGCTTTCTAAGAAAACATGTTGCTTGTTTTTAACTGCTGAACTTAATTCTAACACTGTCACTATAGGGCTGGTGTTCAATTTAATTTAGTCTATTTATGTAGCACTAATTCACAACACGTCATCTCAAGGAACTTTACAGTTCACCAGATCATCCAGTCAGATTGATTCTAAGATTTCTATCTAAGGAAAACTAGTTGATTCCATTGACTCATCGACATAAAGGCAATCTCTCACACTAAGCATGCTTGTAGCGACAGTGGAGAGGAAAAACTCCCTTTTTACAAAAGGCAACTGTCAACCAGCTCCACAGGCGGCCCCGTCCAGGAAACACACAGCCAGGCAGATGAGCTCAAGGCCAGCTCAAATGTCAGAGGATGAAGAGAGCACATCCAGTTAGTCACAGTCAGAGAAACAGGACCACACTGAAAAACAGGCCAAGCTCCAACATCTAGAAATAAAGGTGTTGATGGCAGCAGCACAGCTGATATTTCTCTCCAGGATGGAGTCACAGCCAAACAGGAACAGACCAGATGAAGCTACTATGAGAAAAAGCAGAGAGAGCAGAACGTTAGAGACATTAGTTCCTCTCCTGCTGTTTGGGGTTGAGGTGTCAGATAGCCGCTGGACAACGACAACCCATCACCACGGAAAACTAACCTGACATGTTTAGATTATGGGGGGATTCTACCCAAACAGAGGAAGATGAGAACATTATGCAGATGATTTTCTGCAGTGGATTGCAACTAGTGTCCTGCCTTAGGAGTCAAGAGGAGAGATGGTGAATAATTAAAAGCTGCTGTCAGCGTCCTCAAGTTCTGAATGGACACTGGAAAGTCGATGACATTCCTGCCTCTCCTCTTCTGGCTGCATCCAAACCCTCATGGCCAGAGCTGTTTAATGCTAGGATACAGGAGTTTCACTTTCTTTTTTTATGTTAAGGTTTCCTCCCAAGCACCCAATGACAGGAAAAACAAAAAAAACACTTGAAACTATAACACTTATCCCTTCACTGTTTCTGGGAGCAGACTGTGGTTTTCTGTTGACGTTCTTCTGCACATGTGGGGATGTTTAGAGCCGCAAGCAGATCACAAATATAGGCAAGACTTTTAAAAGTTATTTGAGCAACCTCACAAAAATAAAATGTATGTAGCCATCTTTTAATTGTACCACAATAACAA